TGATTTATATTTTAATGGAAAGAGATAGACATGGTTGTGCATTATTTGCACGAAACAGTTTTCTCAGACAATCTCTAGTTAAAAAATTAAAACACAGCATGCCAGAAGAAAAGTGTTCAAAAGCAATGCATCCACACCAAATAGGTCTATTTCTATTTATTGAATATAATGAATATCTGACTCATAATGAAGATTTACGGTTTTACTCCATCTGCTGTTAGATTATAGGCTATGTGCGTCAGTTTCACCAAACGGCCCAACGCACGTGCTGGCGCGGTCATTAAGAAGGGATGGATGTTTGCTTCAAGTGATGATAGGTTTGTGAAATTATATTTGTATTATCTTTCTGTAGATGTATAATTTTCTTTAGATTCTCTGTCTAATAGTGAGCAAAAAGACATTTGACTCCAGCTCACCATCGGTGTCGCCAAAACCCATACTCTTCTAAAAGAGTGCGTACGCACGGTCAAGAGCATCCTTACGGTGCGCACTTATTTACGCCAAGTTTATTTTTTATAAATCCCGATGTGCGGCCTCATGGGGCCTCATGTATAAACGTTGCGTACGCACAAAATGGGCATAGAAATATGCGTACGCATTGGCGTAAATAAGTGCGCACCGTAAGGATGCTCTTGACCGTGCGTACGCACTCTTTTAGAAGAGTATGGGTTTTGGCGACACCGATGGTGAGCTGGAGTCAAATGTCTTTTTGCTTACTATTAGACAGAGAGTCTAAAGAAAATTATACATCTACAGAAAGATAACACAAATATAATTTCACAAACCTATCATCACTTGAAGCAAACATCCATCCCTTCTTTAATGACCGCGCCTGCACGCGCGTTGGGCCGTTTGGTGAAACTGACGCATATAGCCTATAATCTAACGGCAGATGGAGTAAAACCGTAAATCTTCATTATGAGTCCAAATCATAAATACAGTCCATATTCACAATAACAGTTTAAATAAATAAGAAAATGGTTTAAACTATGTTTTACTTTTGATATAAACATTTAGATTAAATATGCCATTCTCATTAATAGAGTTAAACTCTTAAACTACATGAAATCATTACTGAGAAGTTACTATATATATATATATATTCAATAAATAGAAATAGACCTATTTGTTGTGGATGCATTGCTTTTGAACACTTTTCTTCTGGCATGCTGTGTTTTAATGTTTTAACTAGAGATTGTCTGAGAAAACTGTTTCGTGCAAATAATGCACAACCATGTCTATCTCTTCCCTTAAAATCTCTTCCATTATCCATTAAAATATAAATCAATTAAAAATACTATTTGGCCAGTGGAACGGATTGAGAAAAACTTTCTCTGAAATGTATTTAACACTATTTGATTTATTCATTCAAAAACAAGGCAAGGATATAGGCTACTAAAAAAAATGTTTGTAATAATGTGACGGCACATCCGCATTTCATATTTTCCTAACGTCTTGTACTGTTAAACTTGGTATCACGTGGATGAATAATCATATGCAAATGATATGCAGATGAGGATATGCATAGTAAAACTAGGCGTTGTAATCTCCATATATGGTTATTTCGGGGAGGAGACGCACGTGCGCATAATCTCCCTTTGACTGGGTTTTATAAAGTGAATTCTGCGCAGGTTCTGGCGTACGAACGGTTTTATAAATCTGAAAACTTTTGTGCGTACGCAAATTCTGCCTTATGTGCGTACGCACACTTTAAGGATGAAATCTACGCAAAGTTTTATGCATGAGGCCCCTGGTCACTATATGATGCTGGTGGACTCGCTCCTCCAAAACACCTCAATAATATTCAGATCTGGTGACTGTGCAGACCATGGGAGATCTTCAACGTCACTTTCATCTTCATCAAACCCTTCTGTCACAAGTCTTGCTGTGTGTGTTGGTGCATGATCATGCTGATACACGGTTTGAGCATCAGGTGCTCATGATCCTCCAGAAGGGTTTGGTAGTCCTCGGCAGTGTCGTGTCCATCAAATACAATCAGGATTGTCATGATATTGGAGCTCAAACCATCACTGATCTACCCATGCTTCACTCTGAAGATTGGCCGCCAGGCATATAGATGTGAAACCTCCAACATTGGCCAGTGTTTCAGTTTCATTGTCCAACCCCTGTATCTGCTTTCAACATGGTATTCCTATCTGTTGTTTTGCGATATACAGTAGTGGGAAGTTTCCCATCTTTACCAATAGAAATGGTTAGATCTAAGAAGTTAAGTTAATAGTCATTTTGGAATGTTCCATAAACAATTTTATATTCCTATCATTATTGTTCAAGTACTCATAAAATTGTAACAATTCATCAAAAGAACCTCCCCAAATCAAAAGAATATCATCAATATACATCCCCCACCATTTTATCTTGTCAATGTACCTGTGTGGATAGACGAGATCGCTCTCCCACAGACCTAAAAACAGGTTAGCATAGTTGGGGGCAAAACATGCACCCATCGCAGTGTCCCGAACTTGAATATACATTTGGTCCATGTATATTGAATATACAAAATGAAAACATTGTTCTTAAAGGGTTAGTTCACCCAAAAATGAAAATTCTGTCAGTATTTACTCACCCTCATGTTGTTCCAACCCCGTAAGACCTTCGTTCATCTTCGGAACACAAATTAAGATATTTAAGATATTAAGATCACTCCTGCATACTAGTCCATAGGCTTCTTGAGGGAATGACAATTGCTGGCATCGAAAAGTCATTAAAGACATCGTTAAAATAGTCCAAGTGACTACAGTGGCTCAATTTGAACTTTATCAAACGACGAGAATACTTTTTGTGCGCAAAAACAAACAAAAATAACGACTTTATTTCAGCGCGTTCTTCATCTTAAATCCGCATAGGCGCCAAGCAGAGAGTGCGTCAAAAAGAGAGGAAATTGTGTGTGTGTGTGTGTTCATCTGAGCTCATTGGTCTGTCACCGCTCGTCAATGTCAGAATATTTGAGATGACCAATCAAACGCTGAGCACGAATTTTAGCAGCACGACTTGATGTTCAGTGCACGGGCAAGTGCAAGATAAGATGTAAGTAGCTAAAAACTTAGTTACTTATAACGTTATATATGAACTGAAACTGAAATTAGGTAACGTCAGCCTAATGTAATCATTCGTTTACTGTTATTGTGAGGGGACAAGAAACATTAACAAAGCCATTTTTATCATGTTAGGTACAGGATTAATAATGAATGTGTACATATTGAAAATATAATACAAATTGTAGCCTTTAGTAGAAAAAAAAGCAAAAAAAAAACGCATCCTTCAGGTAGATCACTGCAAAAAAATCTTGGGGATGGATACATTTGAAAATGGGTGTCTGCCTAGCTTGTGCAATGAAGTAGGGACTGTAGTGTCCTGACCCCATATCGGCTGGAGGGACCGGCTCTATCGCGTCCTTCGCCAGTAGGACTGCAATCTCAGCACGCAAGACATGGGCATCGGCTGCTCTCACTTTAGTGGAGTGGATGGCCCGAAACTTGGTGGGACGCCAGGCGAACTGAATCGCATAGCCGAGCCTGATGGTCGAGATGAGCCAGCAAGACGGACTGGGGAGCGCTAAACAGGCTGTCAGAGACCGTACAAATGGAACCAAAGGGACTGTAGGTGTATCCGGAGTGGGGCAGCGAGGTGGAACACAAGGACACAACTCGGGCCACTATGAGGCAGCCCGTAGTGGCGTCTGAGTGTCCAGGCATTAACCTGGTTCCACGGGGCAGGATGTGCAGGAGGCGGCTCGGTGGCATTCTTGGACCGCACACTGCTGCTCACTGTCGACAGAAGAGGCGGATGAGAGTGGTTATGATTCTCTCCTCCCACTACTCTCCGGGCCCTCTTCAGACCCAGAGATGAAAGAAGCTGCTATATTATTGAGAATTTGGGTACCGCTGGTTTTGGGGCCAGCGGCGGAACAGAAAATTTTGGACCCGAGATCGTGACAGCCTCTACAGCAATAGTCAGCAACGGTGGTGACAAGATGTAGGGGACGAGGGTTTATTAGTTCATTAGTTAACGAGACGTTCCCTACAGTTGCTCACGTTTGATGTTACGTCAACGTGACAAAGTTATTGGGATCCCTATGGAAAACGCTATGGTTGCTGCCACATCGAGTGCCCTACGCAGGACTCTCAGACCCCCAACTGACTGGGGTAGTAGGCCTGCGTAGAGGGAGTTCAACTGCTGTTCCATTATAACCTACATAGTGGACCTCTTGGTTCATGCTTGTGTTGCTCTTTTTGTAAAGAAACAAAAACAAAAAATGCTCTCTCAGTGCTTTCTCACAGTCCTGAGGCACCCAGGATATGGCCGCTGTGTACTTGTACAATTTCAGGGAAACGCCCACAGAACCGACACAATAGTCTTAATGCTGTTATAACAGCAGTTGTTTGAGCTTTGAGTCATGCCGTCACACCATCACTGGAGCAGAAGAAGAAGAGAGATTCTTCAACGTAAGTCTGTATTTCAGAAGACCAACCGGAAACTCGGCTCCGAAGTTAAAGACAAAGTGCGATTCACGTACGTCAACGTTCATTGGCTCGTTCTGTAGATCCTCAAAGATGATTGGGCTCCCTGAAGTTATCCCAATTACGTTGTCACGTCGACATGACGTCGAACGTGAACGACTCATATGGAACTGTATATTTGTGCAGTGTGCGCATGTCAAAAAATCTCTACATTCAGATTAATAAATTGGAATAATTTCAGTCTGATTTAAACTAAATTTGTGCATGTAAACAATGCCAGTGAGGGACTTACAAATAAGTTCATAAATGTTAATTTTCTCTAACCACAAAGATGTGAACAAAATGTGTGTCTCTGTCATTGCCATGACAAAATATAATACCAAATAAAAGTTAAATGACATCTCAAATACATAACTGTTTGAAAAATCATTATGCCATTATTGAATGTATTGAACTTCTGCATAGGACCAGTCAGATGAATGCCTCAATGAAGCTTCTTTAACATTTGCATTTTCATTCAAGGTTTGGTGTGGAACACATAGACCTGAGTATGCTGTAAACTCCATCAAAACGGATGTCCACAGTCCAGGGAAGTTTAGGTACATTAACTTTCTTCCACTGACAGTGATGCATTTCTGTCTTTATACATTCAGACTGATTCAGCCATGTTAGATTGTGCTGGTAATCTCTAGTTTTTGTCATTTCTTTTTGTGCAGAGTTCTCGGGTCATTACAGAACTTCCCAGAGTTTGCCAAAGCCTTCCAGTGCCAGAAAAAGGACTACATGGTGCCTGAGAAGATTTGCCGGGTGTGGTGATTACCTGAGGAACAGAAGGGTTATATTGAGGGCCTGTGGTCCGTAGACCCTCTCACCTCTCTGCTGACTCTTAGACCACTATGGCTCATCTATATACAGCTTTATATATAAAACACAATAAAAGAATAGTTACTTTATTCACTACTGTATGAATCAGAAACAAAATATATATTTTCTTTTTACACTTTTTTACTGATTGATTGCAGTAAAATGTGAAAATATTTTAAATCAGATCAGAAGAGAGCACAAACCTACAGCACTCAACACCAAAAACGTTTAGAGATGGCTACGAATAGTCAAATATACAACCAGTATTAACCATGAGCTGTCCTGATCATGAACTGTTTGAACTTACCAGCAGAGAATAACTAAATAGTACGGTGCTCCACTGTGTGATAAATATGAATCAAAATTCAGGAACACAGGTCACAGTCTGATGACAGATGAGTGCTTCTGGTCACTGAAGATTGTCAGCTCTGCAGACAGGAACAGCTGCTCCAAACAAATCTAAATACTTGTGTGTGTTGACTACAACATAGTCATTACTTATTTTACTTGTCATTACTTATACAGTTACTTACAAAAAATATTATGTGTGTGAAAATTTACCAGAATCAGTTGCTTGGATTAGCTCCTTTTACAGTCCAATTATCAAATTGCAAGTATTTTTCCAATTACAATGAAATAATTTGTGTTACAAATGTTTCTCTGTGCAATTATCTCTTTTATTGTATGATCAAGCCAATTTGTAAAAACAGATCTATAAATGTATTACTGCAAATTGGAGATCAAAGAATCAATGAGACAGAGGAGAGGTAGAGCATGAGAGTAGAGAATCTCTCAGAGTATTCAAACACAGATAGACCAGGTAACCAATAAACCTGAGGTGAGGGGACAGAGCCTTAGAACAGAGAGCGTGAGAGTAGAGTCTCCCAGAGATTCTTTTAAGGGGGGGGGGGGGGGGGGGGGGTTGACTGGGATTTCACTTTTTTGATTTTAAATAGTGTGTAATGTTGCTGTTGGTGCATGAACAGTATCTGTAAAGTTACAGCCCTTAAAAGTTCAGTGTAAGCAGAGATATTGTCTTTTAAAAATCAGGAATATAATTGCCTGCAAAAACGACTCGATTGGGACTACAGCTGGGTTTTAGACGTCACTAACCCATACTTTTGCATCAATCCTCCCTCCGGAATATGCAGAAAAGGGAATGCGCATATTTAAGCGGCTCGTCGAGTGTGTGGTCTTCTGTATTCGAGCTTACCACAGACCCTGTTCTTTGTCAACAATGGATACACTTTATGTTTGTCAGCTGTCAGGTCTTCTGTGTTTGAGCTTCCCACGGACGCTGTACTTTGTCAACAATGGATACAATTTATGTTTGATTATGTTCCTGAAAGTGACAGCTTCCAGAATCTCCACGAATTCAACACCGATTCAACAAGAAACTGTTACTAAAACATGAAGCAGTTCCAACTTTAAAACAAGAGGCAGCAGTTGTTGGGCCACAACCTGTAAGTAGGCTAAGACTTTATCATTTTAAATGTATTTGCATGTTTAATTCCAGACGTAGCCTTGTGTTTTATTTTTTTCAAATGCCAGCGCTGGCTTTATAGCCACTATAGGCTACTAGTTATGCTATTTTGTGTCTACGACAACCGCATACAAACATTATGGACCTGAATTTTGTATTACTAATGTTTTAAACGTATTTTTCATGTATATATGCTTTATGACGTTATTTTCGATTTGATCAAGAACGTAAACTAATGCCACACTGTTTGACTATAACGTTAGTAACCGGTCAGTTGCTATTGTTGTCAGTCAGATTCTATTGTGTAAAAAAAAACGTGTATAAAGTAAAAAATGTAGCAAATTATCTTTCAGAAATGTTTAGTAAGAGCAGTGTGTGGTAAGGTTCTGTTTGACTCTCTTCATCGCTGCTTTCTCGGTCTGATTCTGCCTCAAACTGATCACTGCAGTTCGACATATTTACATCTGGACCGGAGCTCATGACATGAACGTTTCGCCCGTAAAGGTAATGGGCGTTAATCTTCCAGACAACGTGAGCGACAGTTTAGCCAATCACAACACTCCGGCCCAAACTAACCAATCTGATCCCACTGCGTGTTTCTGAGGGAGTGTTTTCATAGACTCAGGAAGTCAACCGCTCATTCATGGGACAGAGGAGAGTGCGGCTTACAATAAAGGTGAAATTTATGAAAATTAAGACTTTTTAAAAAAGAAAAACCATGAATACATGGTATATTGCACCCCATAAACACAATCATGCAAAGAAAAAAAGCAGTCAACCCCCCCTTTAAACAGAGGGTAGCTGTGACCTTAGGTATTAATTCTCCATAGCCCAAAAAATCAGTTTCTCAGTTCTCAATATCTCAAAGTCTCAGGGTTCAGTTCCACAAATTAGATAGAGTGGTATGTTGGATACAAAGATATGTCCAAAATTACAGACAGAGGAGTAGATGGGACAGGAAAGCCAGAGGAGCCAACATGATAGGGGAGAGGGGAGAGACAGGACAGCAGGACACCTGCAAGACAAAAATGGAGACATATATTACACCAGGGATTCCCAAAGTGTGCTGTATGTACCCCTTGGGGTGCGTGAGCTGCCTCTAGGGGTGCAAAACAGGAAAGATTTAATGGTGGTGTAATAACTACAATACTTGTGTTGAATTCTTCATGAAAAAAAACTTGAAAATTAAAACCTACCTTAGTAAGTTTAATTTAAAACAAAGTTTATTATTAATACTAGCTCACAGGTAATACTATCTACTCACACACTTCCCTCTCTATCAGGCTGAGCTCTGCTCTTTTTGTCCATATTATCTGTTTATGAACCTACACAAGGCACGATTTATCAAAAACAGGAGATGTTTGGAAATGTTTTTTTTTTGTGTGTATTGCACCTTCAGTAATATCAGCTGCCTTCCATTTGACACAGCTCTGCTGCTCAGTGTTGATAGGCTATTTGTGACATGTAACCAATCAGATAGTGCTGTGTGCGGGATATGGAGCAAATACACAAGTATGAGTATAAGTCTGCTTACAAAAAAGGGGGTTTAGAGGTGCATCAACCTGGTCAAGATGTAGAAGGGGGTGCGCTGCCTAAAGAGTTTGGGAGCCGTTGTATTAGACAGGAAGGACTGGGGATCTAAAGAAAGAAGATATTTCAGTTTCACTGCATAACTTTCAATATGTCCATATTCAAAGCAGTTGACAGTCTGGCAGTAGATCTACAGTGTTGGTCCCAGCGTGTCCATTAATAAGTCTAGTCTGTTGTTTCATGGTATGTGGCCGACATTTTTAATAGGCTAATGACTAATAAATAGATGTCATAAGTGTTTACTTTTAGTATTACAGGACAAATCAAAGGAAAATAAACAGAAGACACAGCACAGTGCTGTGGATCCTCCCCGATGAAATATGACTAAAAAATGTTTAATGTACTTTTGTATTAGAATTTTATTTTATGTTTGCAATGAACTGACAATGTTGTATCAGATAAACATGTTATTCAGAATTTGATTGGTCTAAGTGACATTAAATATATAAAAAGTTAATGTTTCAAAAAAAAAAAAGCATCTGATAACGCTATATAGCGAGCTGGCTAGACCTTTCTTATCTTATCACTGTTGTCTCTTTAAAGCCACTTTTCCATTACCAGTTTCAGCTCAACTCGCATCCACTCTACTCGACCGTGCTCGGTTTTCCATTGCAGATAGTACCCCAGAGATAATACACCTTAATGTAGCTGGTCGTCATAGCGATGCCACACACAACTGCCGCAACATAATATTCAGTGCAACACACACACCAGCGACCCACACTAGGGGTGCACGATATTGACAAAAATGTGATATTGCGATATCGATAATGAATATTGCAATATCGATATTAATTTCAATATTTTTAAATGGAGGTAAAACTACAAAAGTTATAGGAAAACATAAAAAAAGATTAATAAATAAAACAAGTTTTCTTACAACATAAGTTTTATTTCAACTAACAGTCATATTGGACTGGTACAGCCTGAATAAATAAATAATAACCATGTCTACAGAACAGGACATGTTTTACTAGTTGTGTAGGCCTACAAATGTAAATGCATCTCGTTATTGAATAAACCACATATGTAAAATGTACTCCTTCCAAAAATGCTAAAAATGAGAACGTTACAGGCTCATGTTATGGACAGATATGACGACGCGCGCGACTGCAACACGCATCACCGCAGATAAAAAACGCGCAAACTATCGCAAATCAAAGTGAAAGTAAATCGCAGACGCTTTTCACACAGTTATCTTCATTAAAAGTAAATAGAGGGAATGCGCGTGACGTCACCGTCTGCCGGAGTGCCTGCAGTTCCTCACAGTGAGTGGCAAAAAGACTGAGCGGCTGTATATGTGTTCAGCGTGAATGCCGCGAAAAACAAACACAACACACAAAAATAAAGTGGGAAAGAGCTTTGCGATTGACTGTAGGCCTACAACTAGATTTGACAAAACATCGGAGGTATATTTTTACAGACTGCCTTTCTTCTTTAGTAAGTTGTAAGGAACACTATGGCTACGTTCACACTGCAGGCTGAAACAACCTAATTCCGATTTTTTTGCCCCTATGCGACCTGTATCTGATTTTTTCATGACAGTCTGAACGACACAGATCCGATCTTTTCAAATGCGACCCAGGCCACTTGGGTATGTGGTCCAAATCCGATATGTATCCGATCTTTTGAAATGCGACTTCAATCTGAACGGCCAGGTCACATATATCCGACCCGCACGTCATTGCACGCACCTGTAGCTAGCCAATACACGCTAACTCCAACGCGTTTCTGCACTGTTATTATGGGCCGCTGCAGACGTGTCTCTTCCCCAGCGTTGTGCCTGAACGCTTTCAATGAACGATAGTGCATGAACACGTTCATATACTGTATTACTGCCTGATGAACATTACTGTGAACACGTTCATTCTGGTGTCTGTGAACGTGCGCTCTCTGTCAGTTTAACTTCGTACAGTAGGGTGTCAGATTTCTGTAGAGCCTTCCAGGCGAAAACCTGGCTAAAACATGTAAACATTAGGGGTGTAACGCTACATGTATTCGTATTGAACCGTTTCGGTTCGAGGCTTCCGGTTCGGTACGCATACAAACCGAACGATTGCTTGGACCATTTTTCCTGCCGGCAAAATTCGTGCTGACGCGGCCAACACAACGTTGCGCAACATCAAATGGCAAGCGTAATAAAAGCAGAACGAAACTGCGCTATTTGTTATGTGCCAATCTCGATCAAGCAACACTGTTACCACACCGCGCTGAGAGATCCGGTAAAGTAAACATTTGAATTCGCCACTGAGGTAATAACATCGCTGCGAGATCTAGTGAGAAGCCTTCACATTTCTCCGTTATTAACCGTAGATCTCTATTAGATCAAACAGCGCTGTCATGGCAACCAGGAGAAACATTGTGCCATGAATAAACTAGTAATACTTTCATCCACAGACCAGCAACATTCACCATGGATTTAATATAGTAACACTAACTGGAACCAGTTTGGCTGGAATGGTGAAATGCTTTCAAGTACTTCACACATCTTTTTCCAGCACTTCAAAATTAAAATATTATATAAATAAATATATATTTAAATGTTATTTTTAATGTGATGACCAAAACATTATTTGTTCATCCTTCAAAGATGACCCCCATTTATAAACCTGAAAGGAAAACTCACACTTTTTTAAAAATATTTTTTCTTTAAACAAATAGGAAATTTCTCTGGCATTTCTTTCTTTTTGTGATTTTTGTGTACCGTTACACCCCTAGTAAACATGCCTTAAAATGTAGCGAAAAAAACACCCAATCTGGCAACACCAGCCACCAGTGTCGCACCGCGGTCGCCGGTGACAAAGCAAGGAGCGCCGAGGACGCGCAATAAACGGGTTTTATGACGAGGTCGGTGAAGATCGGAAAAATCTTACATTTATTTGCAAACCTTGCCCGTCGATAAAATAATTGTTGTCTGTGTTTGTATATGGGCTGTGGTAATAATAATAATAAAACAAAAGCTCGCAACATATGGAAAAAAAAAACTATTCCGCAAACATCAAGTGACGTTGTTGACCGTTGATTACTCTTCTGCGCATGCGGGTCACTTCTGGGTCATTTCACGTTCACACAGGAGATCACAAAAGGTCGCATTTAATTGGAAATTTGAACGGCCTTGTAAAAAATTAGAATTTTTTCAAAGAATCGGAATTAAGCATTAAGCCCTGCAGTGTGAACGTAGCCTATATTGAGTCCAACATTTAGTTTAAATTGATAAAATTGTTCGATTTAGTCGCATTTCCACAGTTTCCCCTATTAAATCCAGTCACGCAGCCGATCTTTTGCCACTCGGTCAGGCTGAGAGGGGTTGTTCCGGCGGGAAAGTCACGTGTCAATGCATTCCCTCTATAAATGATGTTTTACTAACAAAGTTCGGGAGGAGCATGTTCAGAATTAAACACAGGTGGAGCACATTCAGGTAATCAAGCCTAATTAGACACGAGTGGAGCGCACTCCCAATCAATGAAGTAAGAGGTATATATACAGCAAACTTAACTCAGTTCATTGACAGTTAAACAGCATATTGGTTCGACCTTTTTGCTACCATGTCTCAACTCCAGCTTTTCCCATCCGATGATGAATCCAACTTCTCACCGGATCCTCAGCCAGAATCAGCTGACCCAAGGACCACTCCTTCTCCGCCCAACATTTCAACTGATCCCAAGGCTTCTCCACGCGGCCGCCTGCCTACCTGAACAGCTACACGCTCGCCTAGACGCAGAGGCCAGCCCTCGCCTCTACCAGCGAGACATCGCAATCCCTCCCCTGCTTCTTCCTATCGCTCGGCAGTCCCAACAATTCCACCAATTGCAAAGTGGACAGTTCTAGGATTGAGGCAAGCGCTGATAAATTCGGATGTTCAGTTCTCGCGAAGGATGAACAAAGCGGAACTATATGCCCTCTATGTATCCTTGCAATCAACTAACCTCTCTCCGAAGTCCATGCCGGCCCCGAAAAGGACCAGCAGGCAAAGTAAAGCTCAGGATTCACCTCGCTGGACAACACCACCATCCCAGCGTACTAAATCTAGTTCTCTTCCAGCATCAAACCGCAGCGGAAGGCCTTCAGCAAGCTTGGGCCGCGCCCCAGTTCCTTCTGCCATCAGACCTCGCCAGCAGGCTGCAGCTTTGGCTGAAACCAGGCCCGCCGACCTCCCCTCAGCATATCAGAACATGGCTCCTGCTGTTCCTAATAATCCTTTTTCTTTTCAGTGGCCTCCAGCACCGGTCCCAGATGCTAGCGTGAGGCTGCCTCCGCTAGAAATGGAAGCCCAATCATTTCAACATAGTTTTGCAACAGCTACTAATCCCTCTTCTTTTCAGTGGCCTCCAGCACCTGTCCCAGATGCTAGCGTGAGGCTGCCTCCGCTAGCATTGGAGGCCCAATCATTTCAACCTGCTTTCGCAACAGCTACTAATCCCTCTTCTTTTCAGTGGCCAGCAGCTCCAGTAGCTCAAGCAAGCGTGAGGCTGCCTCCGCTTGCAGCACGAGCCCACTCTTCCCAGTTTCAACCTTCCTTTCCTTCTCATACTTTTAACCCTCTTCCCCAAGCCCCAGAGCCCGATTCAAGCGTGAGGCTGCCTCCGCTGACAATTGCAGCCCCGGCTTTGGTTCCTTTCAGCTCTCTTCTCCAGGCAAAATCTCAGCACTCTCTCTTCACAGCAACTCAGATGCCCGTCCCATCGAACGCCGTTGCTGCGGAGCCACCCCCAGTGTCCCACAACATCCGAGCACAGATCTGTCAGGTGCAGACGTAGATCTCTCATCTCTTCTCTCTCTGTTACCTGTAACCGAATCAAACCGCCAAATAGATTGGGGATTTTTCTGTCACTTTAAAAAACCCAAATCCACATTCATCACGTTTACTTTCTTTTTCCGAGTTCACAATTGCTTTCAGCCGTTTCACTGAAGTAATCTGCTCAGCCTTCCCCCATAGGCGGCGTGAATTAAACGACTACTTATCAATTATAGCCGAACTTGCGCTGTCCTATGGAGGAGGGCACTTCTACACCTACCACAAGCTCTTCTCCGCCAAGTGTTCTGTCCGGGTCGCCCAATGGAACCAATGTCCTTACTGGGGCGCTCTTGATCCAGATCTACACAGCAGGGTTTTCCTAGGCTGCAAGAACATTTCATGTGCGGTATGCAGGTCAGTGGCACATTCAACCACGACATGCCCTCAAGTCAACCCCTCCATCCCCCCTGCCCAGACTCAGCCCCAGTTAAATCAACCAGCTATGTGCCAAGACCTACAACCCATGAAAATCCCGATGGAGGGAGACAGCAGACAGCCTCCTTTTCAAACAGCAGGCAGCTGTGCAACAGTTTTAACCATGGGAGGTGCTACAGACAGCGTTGCCGGTTTCTCCATGTCTGCAATTTCTGCGGCGGTGCCCATGCCCGCCATGTTTGCCCAGTGTACAAAGCAGTCAATAAAAAATCAAAAAATTACTTGTCGACTCCCGTGAATATTTCTCGCCTAGCGATCGAACTAGCTCATCACCCAGACACCCATTTCACACACTATCTTCTGTCCGGCCTCGAGCACGGTTTCAAACCCGGTGTGGAATGCCCACTCTCTCAAAATATTGTCTGTAATAATCTTCAATCTGCTTTGGCTGAGCCCGACAACCTGATCAAAAAAGAAGTCGAGTCAGGCTTTATGATTGGTCCCTTCGACAATCCTCCTTTCGAAGTTTTTCGTATCAGCCCCATTGGAGTGGCCACAAGAAAATTTTCAGGTAAAAAACGCCTTATAATTGATCTATCAGCTCCACATGATTCCCCGTTCCCAAGCATTAACAGCTTGATCCCCCTTGACGAATTTTCTCTCAAATACCATGACGTAGATCAGGCGATCGACATGATAAAAACTGCGGGTCGGGGAGCTTGGCTGGCAAAAATCGACATCACTTCTGCCTTCAAAGTGATGCCCATCCATCCAGATTCATGGCACTTATTCGGTGTACGCTGGCAAGGAAAATTTTATTTTTCCGTACGCTTAACTTTCGGATGCAAAAGCAGCCCCAAAATTTTCGACACGCTATCAGAAGCTGTTTGCTGGATTTTGTCTAACAATTACGCGATTCCTCACCTCATCCACTTGCTAGATGATTTCCTAATCATTTCGCCTCCCGATGCCATCCCAGCCGCGCATTTCCTCACCGTTCAAAATGTTTTTTCGGAGCTTGGGATCCCCATCGCCCAGGAGAAAACCATGGGTCCCACCACATCCATCGAATTCCTCGGCATTAACTTAGATTCAGTACAATTCCAGGCTTCCCTGCCAAAGGAAAAAATTGACAGGATCATACTCGTCTCATCTACCCTCATTGACCGCTCAAATTGCTCCAAACGCGAACTCTTATCCCTGCTCGGCCACCTAAACTTCGCAATGCGCATCATTCCACAAGGCCGCCCTTTCATTTCGCATCTCCTCTCACTCGCCTCTTCAGTAAACGCACTAGAAGACCTAATTTCCATATCTCAGACGTGCCGCGATGAACTCAGGTTATGGATAACTTTCCTTAAACAGTGGAATGACCTGTCCTTTTTCTATAACAATCTCGTTTTATCTCCAGTCGATATCCAATTATTTACAGATGCGGCCCCCTCAATCGGCTTCGGAGGTTTCTACCAAGGACACTGGTTCGCATCTCCGGGGCCCCCCCAACTCCAAGACACGACTCAGTCCTCAGCCCTATTTGAGCTCTACCCTCTCGTGGTAGCAACCTTCCTGTGGGGGAAAGAATGGGCCACCAGCAGCGTTTTAGTGCATTGTGACAATGAAGCAACTGTTGAATGCATTAATAAAGGCCGTTCCCATTCACCCGCCCTGATGCCACTCTTAAGACGCCTAATCTGGATCTCAGCGTGTGATCAGTTTATCATAATTGCCAAACATATCCCCGGGTCTGAAAATCAAATCGCTGACTCCTTGTCTCGTTTTCTGTTTCAGAAATTCAGGACGCTGGCTCCAGAGGCAGACCAATTCCCAACTCCAGTACCTCACTATTCAGAACTAATATTCCCGTAACCCACCCTCTAAAACAACTCCTCGACGCATCACTGGACACCATCCTCCAAGCAGTTTCTCCCAGGACCCTCCAATCTTATGTGACAGCTTGGAGGTGTTTTAAAGCATTCCACTTCTCATACAACTTGCCATTCCCTGATTTTTCTCTCCTTTCAATCACCTCATTCATCTCCTACCTTAACAGCATTAAGGGCCTTCAAATTGGATCCATCAAAGGTTACCTGAGCGGCATCCAGTTTTTCCATAAATTGATGTACGGCGCTCCCTCCCCAGAGATAAATAATTCACAGACCTCCCTTCTGGTCAAAGGAATTCAACGATCCCATCCCACCCATCCTGACACCAGACAACCCATAACACTAGATATTCTCACAAAATGTATTCATGCCCTCCGCACAGTCTACCAGCCTCTCGAGACAGCCCGCACACTCGATGCTATGTTTATTCTAGCCTTTTTTGGCTTTCTTAGATGCTTGGAACTCGCCATCACTTCCAAATTCGACCCAAGAGTCCACCCCACCATCTCAGACTTAGCAGTACTGGATAGTGAAACCATCTCATACTTAATTAAGCAAAGCAAGACAGACCAATCCAAAAAAGGCCATTTCATCTACATCTTCAAACTCTCATCGCCAATCCAACCATACCAATCCATTCAGGCATATCTTCAGTGGAGAAGCTCCCAGGCTAAATCCCCTCTTGATCCCCTATTTTTAGATGACTCCAACAAACCTGTGACACGCTTTTGGTTCCAGAAACATCTCAAACTCGTTCTTCAACAGTCAGGCATCCAAGCAAAACATTTCTCCAGTCACTCTTTCCGCATCGGAGCAGCAACCTCAGCAGCCCAAAAAGGCCTCTCCCAGCAGCAGATCCAAGCTCTCGGAAGATGGTCCTCAGACGCTTTCCAAAGCTACATCAGGACCAACCGGTTCCACATTAAAAAAGCCCACCAAACCCTCATCGAATAAAACCCTCCGGGTCGTCCACCTGGGTGCTCTTCCTTCATCCAGTGATCTAGTTCCCAGCAGACGAAGTAAAAACTCTCCCTGTAGAAGACTTATATTATCTTTTTCTCCGTCCAGCAAGCATTTGCTGTCCAGCGAGCATTGGTCTTCCAGCGGACATTGCATGCATCTATGTTTCCTCTTTTCTGTCCAGCGAGCATTGGTCTCCCAGCGGACATTGCATGCATCTATGTTTCCTCTTTTTCTGTCCAGCGAGCATTGGTCTCCCAGCGGACATTGCATAATCCTGTCCAGCGAGCATTGGTCTCCCAGCGGACATTGCATAATCCTGTCCAGCGAGCATTAATCTCCCAGCGGACATTGCAGGCAGCTGTTTCCTCTTTTCTGTCCAGCGAGCATTGGTCTCCCAGCGGACATTGCTTAATTCTGTCCAGCGAGCATTGGTCTCCCAGCGGACATTGCAGGCATCTATGTTTCCTCTCTTTCTGTCCAGTGAGCATTGGTCTCCAGCGGACATTGCATGATTCTGTCCAGCGAGCATTGGTCTCCCAGCGGACATTGCAAGCATCTAAGTTTCCTTTTTCTGTCCAGTGAGCATTGGTCTCCCAGCGGACATTGCATGCATCTATCTTTCCTTTTTTCTGTCCAGCGAGCATTGGTCTCCCAGCGGACATTGCATGCATCTATGTTTCCTCTTTTTCTGCCAAGCGAGCATTGGTCTCCAAGCAGATATGGCATTCATCTATGTTTCTCTTTTACATCTAACAGGTATCGATTTCCCAGCGGTCCGCAAGAAATCTCCAGTCTGGGCTTCCAAAACACTCCACCGTCAACCGGTAGGGCCCATCAGCCCGACGCCATGAGCTGCTCCCGTCGGAAGCTACATGGGCCCTCCTGGTTGGGCATCCCCAAATCTTGTCACCCCTCATTCGTCAACCAGTAGGGCCCGTCCGCCCAGCGCAGTAAGCTGCTTCCGCCAGAGGCAACACGGGCCCTCCTGGTCAGGCGGCATAAATCAAGCTGTTCCTCATCCATAGGCCATTAAGGGCTCGCCCGTTTGACGCAGTAAGATGCGCTCGCTAAGAACGGTGCAATTCAAACGGACCCAGCCCGCCAAAATTCTGCGTTTTGGGGGGTCTTTAGTCTGGCGGCTGTCCTTTGCCTTTTGCTTTTGGGGGAGCACTCTGGGTTCGGGCAAAAATTCCGAGCTCGGAGCCCTCCCCCTGGACAGCACGCCAAATACGCATAATCTTTACTCTGTTTAATTGATGTAAATGTGAACTCGTGAAATGATGTTTTACTAACAAAGTTCGGGAGGAGCATGTTCAGAATTAAACACAGGTGGAGCACATTCAGGTAATCAAGCCTAATTAGACACGAGTGGAGCGCACTCCCAATCAATGAAGTAAGAGGTATATATACAGCAAACTTAACTCAGTTCATTGACAGTCTAACAGCATCCCACCACCACCCCATCTCCTCACTTCTTCTCCTAAATACTCTTACAACAACGAGGAGGGGGAGCACTCTGGGTTCGGGCAGCCCTCCCCCTGGACAGCACGCCAAATACACATAATCTTTACTGTTTAATTGATGTAAATGTGAACTCGTGAAACGAACTGATATTATTTTACCTGATGATCGTATGCAGCTCATAACTGTTGCTTTCGGTGACGTATGTGCACTCCATTAAATCTTATATATAGATTTATATTATATATCGCATATAGCGCTGGAATTGAAGATCGTATTTTGATAAATCAGATATCCGATCAGTGAAAACGCATGAAGTTGCCAGGGTGGCCTGATGTTTATGCTTGTGTGCGTCGAGCCGGCCGGCAAGTGTGTGTGTCGGGGGACTGTGTGGTAGAGCAAGTGAGAAGTGAGAGAGTGACGGCGATTAGCTTTGAAGCGAAAAGCGACTCTTGAGAAAAACAAAGTGTCTCCCCTGTTCTTTCTGACCACTGTGGGAAATCTGTAGCATGAAAAGTTAAACTTCTCCTTGATTTCCTGTTGTTTATGGAGAAGGAGAATCAGGAAATTAATGGGGGGAAATGCAACGGTGACGGACGCATCATAAACAAAATATTGCATAAATATCGCGAGACTTTCGATAAGTATATCGAGGAACGTGATATCGCGATAACGATATTGATTCGATATATCGTGCATCCCTAACTCACACACAGCTGTCTCTTGGTTTAAGTTAAAACATTTCAACTTTCCTCAGAATGTACAGACAGATAAGCCGTATGAAAATCTTCCAGCTGTGTTTTCCTCTGCCGTCGTTGCTGCAGTGGTCTGTGTGGAGCAGAGGGCTCTGTAAGCAGCCGGCTGTCCTCCTCCCACGGGTTGGCGCAGGCTTCGCCCACCGCTACTTGCAGAGCTTCTCAACTCCTTTCAAAATTCTAAATCTACACAGCTGGTTTCTCACATCGAAGTGGATTTAGTGATGAAATAACGTATGAAAATGGTAAAATATAAAACTTCCTGTTGATGGCCTCTGTCCGGCACGCGAAATGATGATGCAGTGAATATTGACTATTCTCTCTGACCAATCAGCAGCCTTGTATGTTTTCACGTCACATTTTAGTCTCAGCTCGGAACCTCGACGGAGGTGATACAAAAAAAGTACCTGGAAGCAGGTACAGGTACAACTTTTCTACAGTGGAAAACGAAACCAAGACGAGTCGAACTGGTACTTTGCAGTGAAAAAGAGGCTTAAAGGAGCTCTATGCGGTTTTTAGCGGCCTCTAGTGCTGATGTTTCAGAATGCAACAAGAGCGCTTGTGTGCGTGTTCGATCTCAAGAGCGAGCATTCATTACCGGCCACATGAAGACTTTCAACGCAACGGCGAAATCATCACACAACATGCTGGAAACTAATGTAAACTCCCACTGCAGTTACAATAATAGCTTACTTTTATCAGTTTGACGTTGAACTAATGCTCTGTGCTCGTACCATGACAATGTTATAATAAACTGCATTTAGCTGACATGTGATGTTATATAGCATAAGCCATGTCTCTAACTATTCGTGTATCTTTCACAATCAGCAATGTCAATAGGTGAATGTATAATATGATAACGAAAACGGTTAGTGAATTAAACTGAACAGTTTCAGTGTATCAGTAAGATCGTAGGAAGTAACATTACTGTACTAAACGTGTCTGGAAATGTGTAGCTATAAACAATATGATAGTAGTGGATGAGTGACGTTAGTCAGTAGCGCTAGTAAATAAAATAAGTTACATCCTAAAGCACCTACTTTTTGTTATCCTGGAACATTCTTTTGTATTCATGTCATGTGTCATGTAGTTTACCTTTCACTAGAGTTTACTATGTTGATCCGCGTTTTCGTCCGGAGTCAATCAGATTCACGTTTTGTCTGACGAGCTTGAGCAGATAAAACTTTTTTTGTTTTTATATTTATGACAGCTGAAGTGCCGTTGGTCGCATAGACTGTAATAAGGATAGAGAAGCTGGGGAGCGCGCGTGCACGTCACATCTGATGGATTTCGCAGGAAATCCGACCAGGAGACTTCACATATTAATATGAATATTGGCCTTCAGAGGTAATAACAAAACCCGAAAAGGGTATCATTGCAATATGTGATTACAACCCCTTCAAACTCAGGCAATAAAAAAGGATTCATTTTATAAAAAACATATAGGACCTTTAAGGGGTCATATCATGCAAAATCCACTTTTTTAGCCCTTAAATGCATTTTGTTGTATATTTGGAGTGTTTATAAGTACAGAAAAGATGAAATTATTCTCTTCAGGTGCTTCGTTTATATCTTTGTATTCTGTTTTGGTCATATTTTTCAACCTGTTCAGATTTTTCTGTTCTCTATGACGTTTTTTTAGCAAGTGTGTCACCGTATTTGCAGCGGAACTGCCAAATAAGGACATTGACTACCGGTCCAACACTTCGAGCAATCCACCATTATTATTTCTTGCTCCGATTTTGTAGTCCGAGCTCAATGATGCAGAAGTTACGAGAGGGCAAGTCAAAATGTTCGGTTGTTGGATGTACGTTAGTGACCTGAAGCACTTCAAGGATTCCCACTTCAACAACCTCCGCCAGTATAAAGAAGGGTTTGCCGATTGACTTCGTCTGAATGAGAGGTAAATTCTGACAGCCCTTCAACGTCCCATTCCATCTAGATCCTATATATTCAGATATAGTACATTAAATAAAGCACTCGTTTGAATCATTTGT